AAAAAAACTTGACCTAGCAACAGACAGGGTCAGAAGAGTAATTATTCTAGCTATAATCCACAACTTGAGCTTGTGTTGACATCATATTTGTTTTACAGCTGCCTATAAATGTGTTTGCCTGTATTTCTCACTCAAAAGTGTGTACCACTGGAAGCAAGGTTTTCATGACTGAAGTAAAGAATAGAGGGTGACCAAATGAGTTCAAGGTTTTAGCAACATGTTAGAAGCTACGATTGATTATAAACCCCACTTTGAAATTAGGATTTATGTGCTGCCTTTAAAACAGCATAAACAGGATCAAACAGTATTGAATCGCTTTGTCATTCATCAACAAGCTTTATAGAACACGACTTTGTTGTCTGTCAGGTGCCGCGACGGCCATCCTCCAGAAGGCGGAAGTTAAGATCATCAACAGCTGGCTGTGTAATGTTGTACTGAATTACAGGGTCACAGGTAACATGCTGTGTGCTGGAGTCCTTTCAGGAGGCGTGGACACCTGTAAGGTACAGATAATTCACACACGCTTGTAATAGTGAGAGGAAAGGTGAAGTACTTTGCTGCTGTTTTGGTTTTTACAGCTGCATTTGTTTGATGAATTTACTAAACAAGGGTGCTTAGTTCACAGAGGAACCTATAGACTGTATATAAAAGATGCATACAGCTCTTCACTGCCACCTATTGGTTTGTGAGCTACTCATCAGCCTCAGTGTTAGCTTCATAGCTCTCAAATATGTGATTTTCTGGAGCCAAAAGTGACCATGTTTGGAAGAGTGTATGAAGTGCATGAAGAGAGTAGGTGCTAGCTTGGTTAGCAAGCTAAGTCCATAAGGCTCCACATAGCTACATGCTACTTAGTGCTAAACAGGTTAAAAATAATATAGCAGAAGTAAAATGTATTGGGAGTGTGGTACCACACAGCTATATGATCACAGATGAGTCCATCTGATGATGTAGAGCCTAGTGAAGCTGCCTGTGCTGTTAAGGGGGCCATGCCTAAAACTTTAAACCTTAAAAAAAATCCACTGGGTGAGTTATGCAGCTCACAATAACTTCTGATTATTTTTAAGATCAGTCTGCAAAGGTAATTACTAATAAATGGTTTAAAGGTTTTCGGCACCAGACGTTGCAACTTAAGGGAAACTTACACAGAAGCAACCAATTTATGTATATGAAACATAATAAATGAATTTAGCTTTAACGGCAACTATTGTTATTCATTTATTTAATTTTACATAACAGAAGTTTTTTGTTTTTTAATTGAGATGCAGTTTACATCAGCAGTAGCTTATTATAGACACTACCAGCTGCAGTGTATATATATATATATATATATATATATATATATAATAAGTATAATACTGTTCTGCTCGCAGGTTTAATCATCTGGAGAAAAACAGGAAACAGACCAGATGTGTTCACTGTTAAACGATAGCTATGCTTTCTTGAATCCTTTCTTCATGTGAGCTTCTGTGTCACAGTATCAGGGACATGACATGTATAAAGGGAATGAACTGATTAAACAGTGACCTCTAGTGTTTCTTATTCATATTACATCACATAGTCCTGGCACATTTTACAACAGATACAACTGGTTTGTTGTCAGTACAGTGGTCCCTCACCATAACACGGTTCACCTTACGTGGCCTCGCTGTTTCCCTGATTTTTTTTCTGTGTCCTGATTGGCTGTAGGCCACTGTCAATCAATCTCGTGCTGTGTCTCCTGTACAGTACAGAATGCGTTCAGCTGGTCAAATATACATAAATCTTAAATCGCTAGCAGTTTGACTCTGAAGTGCTGTACTGTAAGTTTTCTACCCAACAAACACAACAATGTCGACAAAACGCTTTGCACCGTCAAAGGCACCTGTAGTAGCACCCAGCTAAACATTGCACAAAAAGTTGGACTTCTGGACATGCTAAAGGAAGGTAGAAGAATATTTTTCGGACCATAAGGCGCACCGGATTATAAGGCACATTAAGCGAAACAAAACAGTCAGATAAGTCAAACTCTACTCAACTCATTCTTCTTGACTCCTTCACTTCCGTACCATTGATTCATTAATGTTGAATTCTCTCACAGCTGCTCTATTCCCATGTTCTGCACCTGAAAACAGCGTTTGATCTTTGGTTTCATTCTATAATACTGGACTTATGTTTCTACCAAGGTTTGAACTTTGAGAGAAAAGTGTGAAAATGTTTATGCCTGTCTGAGAAAAGTGTATAAAGTGTGTAGTGACGGGTTTTACAGCCTTAAAACATCTGTAATAACTGTAAAAAATAAAGCTGACTACTTTGCGCAATGATAAACGAGGGACCACTGTACTTCATTTTGATGTAAAAGTCACGTGCTCATGGGATATCATCTGATTATTGGATTGAATAATGTAATATTATAATAATGTAGGATCTGTTGAATAATACAGTATTAAGTGCATTGGGGTGACTGTTGCTTCAGCGCTGATTAAATACAATAGCATTTTGTATAAACACATTGACAATATCAAAAAACTGAATATTAAGAATACAGTGGATTTCAAAATTGTTTGTAATATGATGCTTCTTGGGACTCAGCTCAGTCGCAGATATTTCACAGCAAGTCAGTCTAGTTGATTGTCATGTTCTGCTCTCTCTCAGGGCGACTCCGGCGGGCCCCTGTCTGTCGCCAACTCCCGCGGGCGTTTTTTCCTGGCAGGTGTGACGAGCTGGGGCAAAGGCTGCGCTCGCATATACGCACCCGGCGTCTACACTCGGGTTACCAAATACCGCAGCTGGATAAAACAGAAGACTGGAGTGTAGAAGCTTATGGATTACACACATTCCTCCTGGAAATGGAACCAGATGTTGATATAAATAACACAATCATTAAAATCACAGTTAATAAAAATACTTCTCCGAATTACTTTTATTAATGGTTGCTTTGGGGTTATTACATCAGTATATTAATATGATTTAGTCCCTTTTATAATTGGCTGAATAAATAACCCAACAAAATGTTTTACATTTATTGATCAAATAAATGAATTTAGCTTTAACAGCAACTATTTTTTGATTTATTTAATTTTAAATGTCAGATTTATTTTTTTTTGGTTTTGAATCAAATGTTTTGTTTGGGTTTTTTTTTATTATTGTGATGCCGTATACATCAGGAGTAGCTTAGACTCTACCAGCTGCAGTACTGTCCCGCTTTAAAGTAATCAGGTTTAATCATCTGGAGGCGAACGGGACACACACACCAGATGTGTTCATTGTCCAACGACAGAATAAATGAAAAGGACAAAAATGCTGTCTTGACGTGAGCATTTGTGTCACAGTATCAGGGACATGACCTGAATTAACACTGACCTCTAGTGTTCCTTATTCATATTACAACATTTTACTTGCTGTACATACAACTGGTTTGTTTTTAATACCTCATTTAGATGTGAAATGCTGCGTGCACGTGGGAGATCATCTGATTATTGGATTGAATTTAATGTAATATCATAATAACGCAGGATCTGTTGAATACTGCAGAATGAAGTGCATTGCGGTGAATGTTGTTTTAGCGCTGTATAAATACTGTACACACTGTATAAATACTGTACACTGTACACACTGTATAAGCCAAAGATAAGATAAGATAAACCTTTATTAGTCCCACAACTGTGAAATGTGCTTGGTCACGGCGGAAAGCGGACGGCACAAAGTTAAGAGCAGCATAAAATAACAAAAACAATAGAATAGAATAAAATAAAATAAATACTCTGTCAAAACTGCAATGAAGCCAGATACGAGGCGCATACGCCGATGAGTTTAGCCGCGGCTGATGGGAAGTCTGTAGGTGAAGTAACAGGTGTGTGCTCCACCTGCAGCACACAGTCTCCTCCTCTCTGCCCCCCCATTGATCTCCGCCCTGCCCTGTTTCCTCATTCTCGCTCTGACACCGACCCAGAAACACCACCGACTCTGCTACAGCATCTTTAACTAACCTGTCAGGAAAAGACAAAAATCCAAAGTAGAAGAAGAAGAAGGAGAAGAAGGAGAAGGAGACTGCTGTTTACGTTTCTGCTCAGCTGGGAAGAGAGAGAGAGAGAGAGAGAGAGAGAGAGAGAGAGAGAGAGAGAGCTGCCGCTGCTCACCTGTCGCCGCCATGACCGCGCTGCGATTTTAGTGTTGGAGAAAAATCGATAAGCGACAAAAGAGGAAAAAAAAACGAAAGAAAAGAAAAAGTCAGAGGGACTAATGGATTCCCTGGATTCAGGACAAAAGTTCCGTCCCAGACAGGTAAGTCCAACACCTGTAACCTCTCAGTGACGTCACTCCAGGAACAGCTTTTAAAAAACATAAATATGATTGATTTATATCTGAATTATGAACATACTGATATGCACAATGTGCAGAAGGATTTCTGGATTAGCTTCACCACACAGACTGAACCTGCTCCCACGTCACGCTGCGGGTTTCATTGGTTTAAGCGCGATCTGTTCGAGTAATGGGAGCACTAGTTTCTGTTGAACTCCACTGAAACCTGGCGCGCCTCTGGCATTGAACCTGCATATTTTCACTCTTTGAGGGTGGATTTTGGTGTCCACCTTTTATTGATTAGTTGTTTAAATGACAGAACGGCGCCTGGTTCAGTTTTAATAATCAAAGAGCTGCAAACGACATCAGCGTTTGTTCTTTTATGTTATGTTCCAGTGCCTGATTAATGTGGCAACATAGTTTCACTGTAAATGTGTTTGTGTGTTTGTTAATGTGAAACCAGAAGTAGACTAAACTCTGCTCAGGCATCAAAAGAATGTAGATGGTTTCACCTCCTCCACACCTGTCAGTAAATAATCTGTGGACACCGTTTGAAGGTCCCCTGTGATCAGTGACCTGGGCACAAACAAGCCCACTGTTAGGCACCCGGTCCAGGGTGTGCAACCTTACAACTCTTATCTCACCACCAGTGTTTCTGCAGGTGTGTGGA